AAGAAGAAAAAGAAAAAAAAAGGAGGAGGAGGAGGACCCAGCTTTAAAAGGATACCAGGTAAATAATGTTGGGATGTCAAGACGACATGCTATATAAATCCTTTACGCCAGCGACGATCCCAGGTGGTGGGGGGATGGGGGGATAGGGGAGGGGGGTCATTCGTCAAAATGACATTCTAGAGATCAGTCTGAACAACTGAAATTGCTAGGGCACACTTGAGCACTATGAAATGGAACTGAGAGTGGTTAAAGTCCTAGCCATCTGTTCGAAGGTCGTGAGTTTCAATACCGAACCAGATTTTTATAACTGACATTGATCAGCAATACATGTTTACCAGGAAATAACATGAGCAGTGAAGACGCCACAGTGACCTATCCCCCATCTATAAAAGTATAGGTCAGACAACACGTGATCAATTAGTCAGTGAAATTAAAAAAATATTACTTTACTTACTCGAAGTTGCAAAGGTAAAATTAGGTAAAGTAGGGGACCATTTTCCCGTCAGTGACACATGAAGTATATGGTACTAGACCGGTCAGGACTGATCGGCACTTATCTGTGTTTACTTTACATCCAAATGGCCAGGCAGACGTGTGAAAGCTGTAATTGCCGCTATCTATCTTCTGTAGGGGACAAAATTAAACATCCTAACCTGCACAGTCCTTGGCGACAGCACCAGCCACGCGGCCCGAAACCCTCCGGCTCACGACCCGCTGTCTACACCGCTCTATAACAGGTGGTACAAGAAAAACAGACAGTAGTGACAGTTAATGTTTACTAGATATTACAAATACGCCACTTTGTTTACGTCACCAACATTGCGAAAAGAAAGCCTCACTTGTGTCACTTATGCAGAAACTGTAACAAGTCAAGGCTACCAGTTACTAGTACAGTACTACAACGCTTACTGTCAACAGCAAAGCGACTAGGAAAATATCACGTGATACACACTCTAATGTAATAGTTACCTGCTAACAGTTATACACACGGACTGATCATCATCATCATCATCAGGTGCCTTGCCGACTAGCGTGGGCGATCATGCCTCTCCATAATCTGCGATCTCCTGCAGCATGTATCAATTCGTGTGCCGACACACCTCCGTGCCAATCAACAAGACTTTTAAGCATCTTCTCTCGTTGTCTTCCTCTATCTCTCCTTCCACATATTTTTCCAGTGGTCACAACATGTTCTATTTTCCCTCTTCTCATAACATGACCGAACTGATCACGACTTGCTACTATTATACACGGAAATCTCAACTGCATGGGAACCTTTCCAAACACCGAAACGGCGTGAGAAATAACAAAACCGCACAAGCTTTATCCATATTATACAATTTTCGGCAAGGAAGGGGGGGGGGGGGTAAAGGGTTAAGATATACTATTTAGAACTTTTATTGATCAGTCAACCGTGATAATGTCAAAATTGTTTCCTTTTCTACTTCCTGGTCATTGATTTCTCGTTCTTTACCCTGGCTGAATCAGAAACTAGCGCCACATTTGATTTTCCCCACAGACAGGAATAAATCCCCTTCAACCAAAGGAACGACTTAAATCCATTAGCGGTGTTAACACCCTACCTCTGTTCGACGAGGCAGTTACAAACAGGAATACGTTATGTGTTTAATACACATTTCATCATCATTAACAACATCATCATTATCATCATTAATATCATCCTTATCAACATCATCATAAAAACATTATCATCATTATCATCATCAACATCATCATCACATCATTATCATTAACATCATCATTATCAACATCGTCAACATCATCCTCTTCAACATCATCATCTTCTTCAACATCATCATCTTCTTCAACATCATAATCATCATCATCATCATCAACAGCATCAACATCATCATTGATATCATCAACATAATCATTGATATCATCAACATCATCATTGATATTATCAACATCATCATCATCAACAGCATTAACATCATCATCAATATCATCATTGATATCATCAACATCATCATTGATATCATCAACATCATCATAATCGACAGCATCAACATCATCATCGATATCATCAACATCATCAAGATCATCATAATCAACATCATCATCATGATCATTATCAGCATAATCGTTCTGTTATGCCATTGTGTCAGCACCTTTCTCCACAACGTTCATTTTACTTTTTAGAGTGGGCGTCCTCGTTTCTTTAGTCTATTTCGTCCCCACTTCTGTGTCATAATTATGCTATAACGATTCTATCCAATCAATCAATGTAATGCTATAACGATTCTATCCAACCAATCAGTTATGCTGTGATGATTTCATCTAACCAATCACAGTTATGCTGTAATAATTGTATCCAACCAATCAGAATTCTGCTGCAATGACTCTATCCAACGAACCAGAGTAATACTGTAACGCTTCCAACCAACCAACTAGAGTTTTCATACAATGAGTCCATCCAACCAATCAGAATTCTGCTGCAATGACTCAATCCAACCCACCGACCAATTAACTCAATGAAAACTGCAAACCTGGTAGTTGGAGCCATCAGTCTTTGAGGCATGCGGCTCTGTATCTTAGAAGTTAGTGAAATCATTTCACAAGGCAACGATCAACGTTCACCAGGGCTTGATTCTCGTAGCAGACGGTTTAGAAAAAGACCGTTCTCATGTTTTTCAGACAGTGGTATGAAAAGTCGCACTATGGAAGAGACTGGCTCCTTGTAATGTAATATTCACATAGTTAGCAATAGATACTGGTCCGATATGTCAGTTGCTGCTTCTCCTCTGGGCTGTGAGCTACTTCATAATAAAGCAGACGGAGTGAAATCTTTGGGATTATATGATCTTGCAATAGAACAAAGGGAGAATCCATACATTGAAAGACTAATTCAAGGAATTTTGAGTTATAAGTTCTAGAACATTTTCAACACTGAGGGTGAAAAGATGTGAACTCAGGTTGCAGCTGATACGATTAGCATGGCAACTCTTCGTTGTGGAAGGAGACGGAGCACGTATGTGAGTGTCCCCAGGGCAGTGATGTAGATTCTTGATTCCTGAAGTGGATACATTGCAGCCTTCATTGTAGATACGGTACTTCAAAGAGGTAAATTTAAGCTGTGTTTGTCTTGTCTGCTTATAGGTCGGTGGACTGCCCAGGAGCCGATCTCTAATGCAGGTCGTTTAGTAAATATCACACGAGCCGCCTTTACTTCCAATTCCATGTTACACATTTCAAGCTAGGCCGACATAAGAGGTTTGTGGCTTAATTGTCGTCGGCGTGCCGGGTTCGATTCCAGCTGCTGCAAGCGATTTAGTAGCAGATCGTCTTGCGTTGTTTTCGACTATGGTATCGGGAGCCAAGTATTGGCAAACAGGTTAGTTGCGTATCCTTTACAGGATATTGCAGAACCAACCCCAGCAGCCCCAGGCAAAGTTACGTCCAGTAGTTTGCCATTGCTCTCTGGACGGTCGGCCCCCTGATATTGTCAAACTACTGAACGTACATTTGCCCAGAAAACCCGCAACAGCCAAACAATCTTGGGGGTTGGGTATGCAACGTCATATAAAGGAGACGCCACTAAACTGAATAGGCCATAAGGACTCTGTTGTAAAATATCTAAACGTCAGCGAGTAGTATGTCGGTCGTAAGTGTTTCAGCGCAGTGTTTATCAAACTGTTCTACCCGCGGACCAGCAAAACAGGAAAGTATTGAGGGGTGTGTGTGTGGGAGGCAGGGGTGTGTGTGTGGGAGGCAGGGGTGTGTGTGTGGGAGGCCGGGGGTAAATTGTTTCGTGGACTACGTTGATAACTAACTAAACACAGAAACAAAAGCAGTTGCTGATGGCAGTTTATTTGTTAAAGCCGATGCCATTAAATTAAAATGTGCAGCTCAAAAGAAAACTGCTGTCGTTTAGACGCTAGAAAATGTTTTAACGTATCGCGTACACAGTCTCACTTAATAACCCGCAACCTTGCCCAACAAGCATGTCGTAGGATCGACTCATCGGGGTCATCGTTTGAAGTCAGAGTGCATCTGCATGAGAGGCAAGAACTAAGAGTCTGCATACAAATAGACCAGATCTGTAAAATGGATGTGCATGCAACACTCAGGTTGTGGAACAAAACTACTTTCCAGAGGTGGACGAACAACCATAAATTTTTGCCGGAGTTTATGGCTGGTAAACACGAAGACGAAGAAGAACTAATCAGCAATGCAATGTCGGAGTTATGTGGCCGCTACATGTTTTTGTAGAAATATTTGGTGGCTCAGCCAAACATTTCAGAGGCCCATCATTGGTCTGATGACCATAACTTGAAAAACACTGTTGTAGGGAATTCATTATGGCGGCACCCCGTTCAACAAGAGCTGGGCTGAAATAAACCATTGGTTGACTTGGTTGTCTGTTCAGGTAAATCTGAGGCAGGGCCGGGCAAGGGGCGGTGGATAGAGTGGGGCGGGGGCGCAGGGGTGTGGATGGTGGTGTGCAATTATAGTAATAATACGAATGTATAAAGTCAGGAGCTGACGTGTGTGGGTGGTGAGAGGGGTGCTAGTTGATGGGGTGTTGGGTGGTGAGAGGGGTGCTAGTTGATGGGATGTGGGGGGGGGGGGGTGGGTATGGTTGGATGCAGGCAATGACAGACAGACACAACGTGGCTGATGTTTACACTCATACACACAATACATACACACAGAGAGGGAGAGAAAAGAGCAAGAGTGACAGATCGTGAGAGAGTGGCAGTGACAGAGAGAGAGAGAGGGAGGGAAAGAGAGATTGACGGAGAAAAGATAAATGCATTAGAATGATTAAAACAAAAGGTGGAAAAAAAGACAGACAACAAGAGCGAGTCGTGGATAAGGGGAAAAAACCGATATAAAACGAAGGGAGAGGGAGAGAGAGAGAGAGAGAGAGAGAGAGAGAGAGAGAGAGAGAGAGAGCGTATGGGATAGTTCTAGAGGTACATAGAGAAGACAGGTATACTGATGGAGAGAGGAAAAGAAATAACAGATAATGAGGGAGAAAGGCTGACGAAAGAGACAGTGAGAAGTATACACATAATAAGAGGGAAGAAAAGTCGAAATACTTAGAGAAG